AGTGCGTGAAGGTTTTCTCTTGTAATTTCAATGGCATTGCATTCAGAAGAGAAGTTAAAGGTAGGCCTTATAATAAAGGTGGAAGGAAAAGAATTGACTTTAAATTTTGAAATTATTGTTTTTGATGAAAGAAAATTACTAATAAACTAAACGTTGAAGAATTAACATTTAGATTGAAAGAGTATTTGCTTTTATGCGTGGAAGGTTGTTTTTGATTCAGAGACCTTTATCTAAACAGTTTAAATAGCGATTGAGAAAGAATATAAAGTTTCGCCATTCTCTTGCTTTCTTGTTATTATTTATCTGTGAGCATTTTTAAAAATGAAGACATCTGAATGTAATTTTGATGTTGTAGTCTATCGCTTGATTTGGAGATAAATTATGAATAAAAATACAGCATATTTTATGCTTTGTAAATAAAACATGACTTAAAACGTAACTTAATGAAATTTGTAACGACATTTTCAATGTTACAGAATGTTTTGAGTTTTTAGAAATGCGGAATTTTTGTGCATTCTTCTTTTCGAAGTGATGATGATAATAAATATAATAAGAAAAATGAGAATAAACTAATAAACAATACTGTGGCATGAGCATATAATGAAATATTTAATTAGGAAAAAAAATGTATATATGAAATATTTAATTAAGAAAAAAACTTGCATGGAAACTATCTTTACCTAATTGTGGTAATGTTAAATATTGTAATAATTTAAAAATACGATTTATAATAGTTGCAATGTTTAGTTTTAGTTGATTTTTAAACATCACTTTATGTTATGAGAGCGTCTTTACTTTAGAATTAAAGAATGTTTTAAAGAAAAATTGCACAGTTGCTTTTAAATTATATTTGATGCATTTTATTTAAATAATAAAGACTATATGGGTTTATGATCTGAAGCAAATTAGAGTAACGTTACTTACGCATAGCATAATTTTATAAAATTCCAGTTTGAACACCATATGGAAATCTTGATTTTAAAAACAAGTTATGAAAATATAGTCCAGAAATGTTCTTCGATTATCTCCAGTACTATTATTTTATATTCGGCTTCATTATTTCAATTCTATTCTATCAAAAATTATTCATTTTTAAAAATATCCACCGATGTATAACCAGGGCGATATAACGGTGATTCAATGGTCCACGTGCACCAAAATTTGACTGGAACAGCCATTAAATAATTATCAGTGGTCCTCTGACAAGTAATCGATGCAAAGAGACGGCACGCTGTTTCTTTCTTTCTTTTTTTTTTCAGTTTCCTGTTTCGGTCTGTGTATCACAAAATAGCTTATTTTATCCTAATTTTGAACATTACATCCTCTTACTATGTTATTTTTATATTATATCCGTCGTTGAACAGCCGACTCAATTTTTTTGGGTTTACGACGATGTTCAACAGTTGTAATTTTGAACGAATCCAGAAGACAAGAAAATTCCTGGATCAGTACCCCTAGAGGTATTTGTTATGGAAACATGGAGAACTTTGCGACACGACATATTTAACGTGCATCAGTCACCATTTACTACACGGGGAGTCTTCAGCCGGCGGGAATTGAACCCACGAACTCTTGGACACGGGCCCAGTGCCCTACCAACCAGGCTATCCCGGCCTTTCTCTTCTTACTATTTTATAATTTTTATATTTTATAACCGTCGTTGAACAGCCGACCCAATTTTGGGTTTACGACTACTGATGTTCAACTCTGTAGCCTTGTAATATCTTCTTACTATTGTAATTTTTTATATAAATTACTTTTAGTAACTTTTTTTAAACACAGAATCTAGTTGAGACGTATAAAAGACCAGTAAAAATATGTACGGCTAATAATATGTTTTAATCACTGGACTATGGACCATTGACTACCTTTTTATTAAATTTCTACTCCTGTATGCAACTCTTGAAAATTATACGTTGCATTAGACATGTAATTTTCCCCCCAATTATCTCAGAATATGAAGTTTTCAGATGTTTGAAACACTCCGCTTCAGTGTTTAATTAAAAACTTATCAAATAACCTTTCAATGTATACTTAATTGAAAGCAATAAATAAGATCCTAATTTTGAACATTACTGTTATTTCAAAGTTATCAGGACAAAATTTTAAAACTTATAATTTTTTCATCTGCAGCAAGAGCAGTATTTCTATTTCTACTAGTATTTTCCTGGAAAATAGTGTGCGTAAGAATAATGTAAATAATGTAAAAATACACGTAGATCGTTTTTCTATTTATATCATTAGAAAATTACACTGAAAAATATTGACTGATACTACTGATACTTTTAGTGATATATGATACATTTTTGTTTTCGCTATTACACCAGACTTTTTGTATGTCTTTCGTTGTTTTTTGTCCTCTACTTCAACTAGTATTTTCCTAGAAAAATAGTGTATTTAATAATAATGTAAATGATGTAAAAATACACGCAGAACGTTTTTCTGTCTATATCATTAGAAAATTACACTGAAAAATATTGACTGATATTACTGATACTTTTATTGATATATGATACATTTTTGTTTTCGCTATTACACCAGACTTTTTGTATGTCTTTCGCTGTTTTTTGTCCTCTATTTCTACTAATATTTTCCTAGAAAAATAGTGTACGTAAGAATAATGTAAAAATACATGTTGTTTCATGTATTTTTAATATAATTTCTAATGTAATTTTTAATGTAATTTTTAATAACAAAAATAGATGTTTTGTTGATTTATAGAATTAGAAAAATACTCAGAAAAATATTGTCTAATATCATCCTTTTTTAATTTTATTACACCAGACTTCCTGTTGGTCTCTTATTTGTCTGTTTTACAGTATCTCAACGTTGGATGCTTTAAATTCTTACAAGAGTATTTTATTGTGAACGTGACAAAATTTTAAAAATTACGTTATCTTTATCTGCCGTAAAAACAGTTTTTATTTCTGCAGGTATTTTCATTGGGAAAATAATTATACTACATGTAGAAAAAATGATGCTTCTCTTTCAGAATTTTAACAAAATAAATCGCTACTAAAAACCGTTGTTATTTTGTTTAATTACCATGCATTTGTTTTGTCTGTTTTTACTGCATCTCAAGAATCTTTCGGAACGCTGAATACTTCAAATTCTTCCACGAGCTATTTTCATTTTTTTTCGCAGATCCATTCTGAAATAATCCTCGTAGATCTCTTCTCCATTTCTTTTTTTATCTCCTTTCCATCGTCTTTCTTTCCATGCGAAATAATGGTTATTCGTGTGTAAGTTAGCGTGTCTCCACATGTGACAGATCAACATAAATGACAGGTGCCGCTCGTCTGGCAAAAAGATTTTTGACATTAACTTTCTCTTCATCTGTTCCATCGTTTTATTGAAGCAAATCTGTGTAATTTCTTTCTCCTTCATTGTATTTTCTTGATCCCTTTCACTTTCTCTCTTTCAAATCATTAAGGAGCAGCTGTAGGTGGAAAAATTCATTGCAGTAGCTAATACTTTTACAATTGTTACGCGACAGACTTCAATTGTTGTGAGACATGCTTTTCGTAAATTGCTAGGATTTGAAAAAGGAATTAAAGAAGGGCTGTTCTTTATAGTATTTGAATTTGAGTAATCTTCTTGTAAAATCAGTTGTCAGAAACGAAATGTAAAGTCAATAACAGGGTGTAAAAAGGATAGCTTCTTGGGTTAGAAATGAATTGTATAGGTATTGAAAATTTAAAGCTATTACATTTTTAGTTTTCTTTACTCATCATTGCCCACGTTGCAATATATCATTCATATTTTGTATAATATTGAATCGCAACCACTAATACTGTTGCAATTGTTACGCGACAGACTTCAATTGTTGTGAGACATGCTTTTTTAAATTGGTAGGATTCGAGAAAGGAATTAAAGGAGGGCTGTCGTTATAATATTTGAATTTGAGTAATCATCTTGTAAAACCAGTTATCAGAAACGAAATTTAAATTCTATAACTGAGTGTAAAAAGGATAGCTTCTTGGATTAAAAATCACTTGTATAGGTATTAAAAATTTTAAGCTATTACATTTTCAGTTCTCTTTACTCATCATTGCCCACGTTGCAATATATCATTCATATTTTGTATATAATTATTGAATTGCAACCGCTAATACTTTTGAAATTGTTAGAAGATAAACCTCAATTGCTGTGAGACATTGGAGTAATTTATAAAAAGAATTAAAGAAGGTCTGTTGTTCAATTGGAATGGTTAGAAAACAGGTCTCAATTGCTGTGAGACAGGCTTTTCCTAAATTGACCGGATTTGATAAAAGAAATCAGGAATGTCTGTTGCCTTATTGTGCTTGATTATGAGTAGTTCAGCTATAAAATAAGTTGTTAGAAGTAAAATGCAAAGTTTATAACTGTGTGTAAAAAGAATAGATTTTTAGATTACAAATCTACAGCATATTAATTTTTAAAAATTATTAAAAATTTAGTTCTCTCTAACCATAATGCTGCTCAATTCTCGATATTTCAATAATATTTCGTATAATATTAATGAGTTGCAGTTGCTAATATTTTTTCGAAAGCAGCATTTTAGTAGCTACTTTTTCAATTTCAGTTTTATCTATGTTTTGCCTAACAAGCATGTTTTTTCTAAATTGTTATTTAAATTATAACAGCTCTGATTAAACTTTAATTATTAAATTTCTAATTTCCTTTACCCTTAATGCCCGAGTCGCAATATTTCAAAGTTATTTCGTATTGTATTATTGAGTTGAGTAATGAATCTATACCATGGATGAAGATTTTGAATTATTAAATTTTTTCTACCAGTACTTCGGACTGCAGTATTTCAACAATGCTTTATATAATATTATTGAGTTACTAATACTTTTCTAATTGCAGTATTTCAGTAGCTAATACTTTTGCAATTGTTATTAGATACTCTTCAGTTGTTGCGAGACGCGTTTTATCTAAATTATTAGGATTTGTAAAAATAATTAAAGAAGGGTAGTTATTTAATTTTGATAACACTGGGACTAGGAAAAAAACAATTTTTTTCTGTTGCATTATATTTTTCAACAGTTCTTATAGTTATTTTCGTTTCACTGATTTTAAATCTGAAATAGGATTCTCTCTCCAAGCTACAGTTTCTTTAATTACATTTTTAGTTACTTTTTTGTCGAAATGTACAAGTTTTAAAGCATTGGAAACAGGGAGATGTATAAATATTGCGACCTATTTCTAGGGGAATTAGGGCACATCATCATTACTAAAACTGCCTGGGAACCCATGTCCAGAAATGTCGTCATACGCCACTTGGGGAGTTTCCCAATGCTATTAGCTGTTTCTTCGAGCGCTTTTGAGCAAATTATAATAGGGAAGCTCCCCTAGCCGTGTACGACAATAATTCCGAGCATGGGCTCCTATGCGAATTTAATTCTGATGATGTGTCTGAACTCTCCTAGAGGTTTGTTGCAATAGTTCCGTGATCCCCTAGCTATGTATAATCTTTTTGGACTTGAAAATTTTGAAAAATTAGGTTAAAAATATCATTTTCAAAAATCTGTAACTAAAGAAGCAAAAGTAATTTCAGATTTGAAATTCTCGCAACTGAATTAGGCAAGATCAAGTATTTGTATAAATGCAACCAAAAATGTGTTCCCCAGTGCTAGTAAAATAAGAAACTGCAAGCGAAATGTTAAATCAATAGCTGTTAGGAAATTGAATAAATTTTTCTATTATAAAATCATAGCATAAGTATATAAAATAACATGATTATAATTTTAGCTTTTAACATCCATTAATATTAAGTTGAGTTTTTTTATATAATTTTTAATAAATAATTCTAACATTCATATATAATGCTTAAAGGTTGAATTGAACTTTAAACTTACTCAGAAAATTTCTACGCGAAAATTTTTCGTTTTATTTAAACAATTTGTAAAATTTTATAATTTTTTGTAACGCAATCTGAATTGCCAAATAACTATTAAACTTCAGAAGTATTACAAGAAAATGTTTTAAAATTATATTTATTTCTAGAAGGCAAAGTAATTAATAAATAAATTCAGCACTTTTTTCGGTTATTTTGAAAAATTACTTTTTAAGAAAATACTTGTCTTTAAAATAAACAAATACTTGAAATAATTTATGCTAAATGATTTTNATTTTCTATCTGCAAATCTAAAGTTAATAAAGCTTGGCTTGTTCCACCGGATCACAATTGGTATCCCCGCAAGCGTCCTGGAGGAGCCCTTGACCTTCAGAGTACATGTGCCGACCAAACAGCTACCTGTAGATTTGTCAGTGGGCATACTAAGAGCCTCACTTTCAGTGGACAAATTAAACTTTTTCCAACTTGTAAAAAGTGCAACTCCAGCAAGACTAATCCTCACCATCTACTTGATTGCCTGGATTTCACCATGGAAGAGGTTCTTGAGATACCTTTCCTTTTCCTCGATTTTTAGAAAACTAACGGCCTCATGGATCTGGTATAGCTCCGATATCCCAGCTGGGATAAGAAACAACAAAAACCCATGTTCAAAAATATCACCATACGCCGCTAAGGGCGTCCCCCCTGTTATTAGCTGTTTATTCGTGCGCCTTTGAACAGGTTATAATAGGCAAACGCTCCTAGCAGCGTACGACAATATTTCCGTATATGGGCTCCTACGCAAATTTAATTCTGAACTCTCCTAGAGGTTTGTCGCAATAGTTACGCGACTCCCTTGCTATATACAGGGTCATTCATAATTCCCTCTTCCTGTAAACGCAATTTTTCTTTACTACAACTTGCTTCAGCGGTACATGTTACTGCCATCTACCGGCAACTGCTTAAAATAAAACTTGAATACTTTCGGAATAATTTTATATATTCTTTTTTGCCATACTCGTCTTCATTTTTTTACTGTAACACTTCGAAACCCCGGAGGAAATTTTGAATAACTCTGCATAATGTTTTTAAACTTGTACATTTTTGAAAAAAAAAAGGCTAAAAATGCCATTTAAAAAATTCTGTAGCTTAAGAAGCAAAGATAATTTCAGATCTGAAGTCCGTACATCTGAATTAGACAAGATCAAGTATTTGTATAAATGCAACAACTAATGTGTTCCCCAGTGCTAAATACTAGTAAAATAAAAAACTGAAAACGAAATTTTAAGTCAATAACTGCGAGCAAATTGAATAAATTTTTAGATTATAAAATCACAGCATAAGTATATAAAATAACATGATTATATTTTTAGTTTGTATCACCCTTTATTAATAAGTTACGTTTTTAACAAAATTTTGAATAAATGTTTCTAACATTCATATATAATGCTTAAATGTTAAATTCAATTTAATTCAAAACTGATAAACTCTAGTAGTATTACACGAAAAAAATCTTAAAATTATATTCATTAAAATATTTATAGAATGCATTATAGTTAATAAATAAATTCTGCACTTTCTTTGGTTATTTTGAAAAATTACTTTTTAGATAAATGCTTTTCTTTAAAAGAAACAAATACTTAAAATAATTTATGCTAAATAAAAATTTTTTTCTTCTTTATACTATTTTTGATCTATAAAAAATACTTTTTGAATTTTATTTCTTTTTATCTTTTATTCTGATTTTTTTTAAGTGATATGAAAAAAAAATTAAATTAAGATTTGATTGCATTCTCATTTTTTTGCTGTACCACTTAATTTTATTTCTCCCAAATAGACAAATTCGATTTTACAGTAGTTAATGATATAAGTTTTTTTTATAAAAAAAACATATGATATTTAAACCGTCCATTTAGTAATTTTTCCCATCATATTGTAACGGTTTTACAGAAATTTTGGGTTTTAAAATTATAGTTCTTATTATCAAAGCTTTAATAAAAAATACAAAATTGAAAACTAAATTTAACCAAATAAATTGCTTGTATGCCAAACGTTAAGAAATTATGAAAAAATTACCAAATTTTGCCACATTTACTAAATTTTATCACGCATTATAACACTATATTTAATCATGATTTTACTGAAATAATTTTCAAAGCACTTCGGTAAAAATTACTGAGCTTTCTGGTGTTCCCATAGAGCCAGAAACATGGTAAATTTAACCGTATTTTGGTAGTTTTTTATTTTGGTAGTTTCATACTTTTCTTTATTGTAATAATCACACGATATTATGGTTATTTTTTAGAAAAGATATGCTTAACACACTTTTAAGGTAGCACTAAATTCGTACTACGGTTTAAAGTATCGGTTTTATGGTTCTTCTTGAAACTGATTTTTCTAACAATGTTGGAGTTCATTTTTATCCGTATTTCTTTCTAAAATTTCGGATTTTACTTTCGACTATAACATCTAGACAGGAAATTGTTGACAAGCAGATGTTCGGCATAGCTGCTATTAAAGCACACAAAAACAACCAACAGAAAAAAAAAATCATGAATACATTCTGAAGAGAATAAAGCAGCTGCTGTTGTGGAAAAAAAAACTTTTTTAACTCTTCTTTGGAAGATCTAAAAACTCTTCAAAAAGAAATGACTATACACGAGATTAAATAAATAAACTAAATAAAAAAAAAATCAAGCGCATCAGTGATTCCGTAGTAGCTTCTTCTTCCCTCATGATACTTTGCAACATAGTTTGGTGCACGTCAATGGCATTGTTCCATGCTTGATTAATTGATTACAGCAAACAATGTGAGCGTAAGCAGTAAAGAGATTTTAGACAAGACCAGTTTTTCTTCTCTGTTTTTCTCAAGGTAGCTTTTATTTTTCATCCATTAGGCGTTGCCACGAACAGTGATAAGGGAGTAAAAGATGATCTTCCCATTTTTAATTGTTCCCTTAATGTGTTTTTTTTTCCTCGATTTTTTTATTTATTTGGCAATAGTTAGTGAAAGTTTCTTATCGTTTTCACGTACCAACTACACATATCATGGTAATGCACAGCTTTTACTTTATTCTAAAGATAACTTTGAATGAGTCATACAATGCTTCAGAATCTTATGGGCATATATTATAGTATGGGTATATATTATAAGAGAAATTATTATATCATGATTTATATTACCTAGATGGGATAAATTTATATCATAAGAGAAATTATTTTATCATGATTTATATTACCCAGATGGGATAAATTTATGTTATAAGAGAAATTATTTTTTCATTATTTATATTACCCAGATGGGATAAATTTATATCATAAGAGAAATTATTTTATCATGATTTATATTACCCAGATGGGATAAATTTATGTTATAAGAGAAATTATTTTATCATGATTTATATTACCCAGCTGGGATAAATTTATATCATAAGAGAAATTATTTTATCTTGATTTATTACCTAGATAGGATAAATTTGGATACTGTATGAATTGTTTTTGTTTCTTTTTATAGCATTTCTTAATTCCCACCCAGCAACTATGACAAATTTAAGAGAACACCAAGGGAGAAACTTTTCGTCTTAAATTCCCTTTTACCTCCATTACTAATTTAAAATTTTAAGAAAAAAATGAGTTCAGGTAAAAACTTAGAGTAAGACGTAAAGTTTCAGTTGCTGAAAATTAATTTTAAATTATCAAAATGCCAACAAATTATTGGAAGAGAACTTTTCCATTGCGTAATCCTAAGTTATCGTCTCCTTTTCTATTTTCATTTTGATATTCTGGAAATTTCTTCTCAGTATTTGAAACTTCATAGTTTACTCCAGGTTTGTTTGAACTCATTTTTTTCCGTACTTTAAATTTTACATTAGTTATGGAGGTAAAAGAGAATTTACGACGAAAAAATTCACCCGAACTATGGCCTTCTCTTAACTGAACAGCATCTTTTGCCTATGATTGAAAAAATGTTTTGACATAAAACGTTTCAAAGATGTTATTTATTCGGTTCCTAAATTTAGAAATGTAAAATTTCCCTCATCTCTCAAAGGTCTTAACTGTTGAAATTTAGCAAAACGTTTCAGTTACTTCGATAATAACGTTATATTTACATCTTAGAAATACTTATGAAATGATACTAAAGTTGCGTCATACATTTTTAGGTGATACGAATGTTTTTCTAACATAAGTATG